CGTTCACGTGTGTAGACAAGAAGATGGCTCCATAATACGAACTACTTTCCATAAAAAATACATGGAAAGGGCAGGCCTTGCATTAGTTGAGTTTTGCTCCCATCCAATGGAAACTAAACTTGGTATACACTCTTTTCTAAAGGGCAAGAAACATTTGTTCTATGAAGATATTGGATGCAGAAGTCGCTTGCCTCAAGGCAACTGTACTTAAGCGGGGATATCCAGCACGTCCTACCCACAAGTACTGCAACCCCCTACGGTTAAAACCGACGTAACCGTCCCTTCTAAAACTGTCTGTTGTTGCATCGTTGTCCTTTAAGGGTGAAAATACCTTAAGTATTACCAAGCGACGCCTGTGTTGTACCATTAGGAAGACATACAATACGGCCGACATCATAGTTTGCAGACCTACAAAAAACGCAGACGCCACTTCAAACTCTCTCAATGAATTTACTTGTATTTGCGGATTTAAGTATATCGGACAATCACAGTGGTAACTGACAGCCAGATCTATATGGTACCTGCCTAGATGGCTTTTAATGGAGGAAAACCTAATTTTGCGCTCATTCATTACGAAAAATTTTGCTTGATACTGGTCACAATGTGGACCCTAAAATATCCTTCTAGGTACTTGTTCGGTCGCGAACAACTCGGACATTGAGCTACCTGGAGACAGCCTATATACGAGGGGTGAAACCCGACCTATGCAAACAGTTGGAGCACGTGGTTAAAATAAATTTGCCTTGGTTACATTCAGCTTCTAGATTTACACAGTTTTCTCCCTTCTTTTTGCTTCAAGGTTTTTACGCCACTTTTGCTTCCCCTAGTGTGTTATACGTTGCTAACGTTATTGATTAGCCCACACGACAATATACCTTGCTGTCTTTGCATGGATTTTTTCTGTATGAATTCACATTGTTGCATTCCCTCATTTGTTCTCGATCTTATGCAGCGACAGGTAGCAACTGACGAGCAGTCGCGAAATTTGTTGGTACCAACAAATTCGGCTGTATTTGCATGCTTTAAATTGATACACTAGTTACAGGACTGAGCGTTTGCGCACCATCTGCCAACTTGGTCGTAACATACAGCCAGGACGTTTTTTCCTTACCAGAACTTAAAGTCGCAAGAATTTACCTTATCAGTTAAGTGATATTTGCTTCTGTCATTGCAGTGAGTGGTGGTTGATATTCTGTAATATCGGGTCCGTCATCGTAAACCGCTAACTGCTCACATAGACGAGGCCATTTTGTGCGGGCTATTGTTGATATATTACTTGATACTAATAAGTAGCAATTGTTGGTAATTATAAATTATAACATGGACTTTTAGTATGTCCTTGTGTCTCGTCGCTGCAACTCATTCCTACAAACTAGTGGGCAGTGTGAAACAGCAAAAGGCCCACCCAAAATACTCTGCGTGGTGGAGAGTTAATGACAAACCTGAGAGCGCAGATTTCGGCACTCCGCAGTGACCGCAATCACGACCTGCGAAATGGACTCCGAAGGCGAGGTGAATGCAGCAGGGTTCTGTGTGACCAGGTCCGAGAGGGCAGTCAACCCGTTGACCTTCTCTTCCCAGTCTGTGGAAGCGAGCATGTTGAGGGCTGCAGAGGGGCTGCAGTGGGTCTTAGAGGCGCTCTCACTTCGCATTGAGGGGGACTGAGGGGGCGCACTAGGTACAGAAAAAAGTAGCCTAAAGCATAATTTGGCGTAGCCGATTCGCAGGCATATGGAAGTACATGTAGAATCCCATTACTGACAAAAAAACAATGGAGACTGGAATGGCCGCCATCAGGCAGCCATACCAAAGCCCAGATGTTGCGGTACTAGGAGCTCAAATCCGCGAACAACGGATAATACATTTGGAAAGCCATTAGCTCTGCTGGTAACCCGAAGAAACTAAAAGAAAACCTGACAATTGGCTTCTGACGTTTAAGATATCCAAATATGTCGTCCTAAGTTTGGAATCTGGGTGGAGACGTTTCCCCAAATGCGGGACTGCACTAAAAGAAGTGGACACGCTCAGAGCTCTAGGTATCTGGACAGCTTCAAACCTACTGCCCGCTGAACATCCTAAAAGGGCTGTCCAAAAGGCGGCGAGCACAATGCAGGCATGCTTTCGTGGTGTTTCCGTCCGAACTGTCTGCGCGGATGTTCAGTTCCTTCGTCAGACTGCACTTCGAATATGGAAGGTGAGCATGGATGTCGTGGATCCGTTATCTCATTGAACGGGTGCAACGACAAGCAACAAAACTGGTGGACGGTCTTAGGATTCTGCCTTCTCCTGATATACTGATTACGCTTCATTTGTTTCCCCTATCCTATAGACAAATGAGGTGCGATCTGCCAAGGACATTCTGCATTATCCACGGACATTCCTGTTCACTGAAATCTGAAGATCGTTTTGAGTTTACACGTATGAGTCACCTGCGCGGCCATCCGTACAAGATCAAACGTGAGCGTACACGTCTAGATCCACGCAAGTTTTCCTTCAGTCAGCAGGTGGTTCGAATGTGGACCTGCCTACCAAACGAAATAATGACATCGGATACCGTTGCTGTGTTCAAGCGGTAGATGGAGCACTTAACTTTGATAAACGAAAACCCTCACTACAGGACTACCTCCATCTAGCCATGACTTTTACTTCATAATTTCAATTTATATGTATCGCACCACTAAATATTTGCTGTAAAAATTATCCAGTAAATCTTACACATACTCTGTGTATATCACTGCACCCCCATTTCCGGCCTGCTTGACTTTGTCTTGATAACCGGGTCCCGAGGTGGGAGTGGTTAGAGAGTGGGGTAGGTTCTCCGCGAGTCTACTTTCGCTGTATATCTCGCGGGAGTCACAGCGTTGCTTCAACTCGTTGGAGCTCGTGGTGGACATCGTCGAAATCAGCGGTCAAACTGTCGTCGATATCACTGCATTTTTAACGCGACTGCACATTAATAGGGTCATCAAGGTTTAACGCCCGTAACCTTCAAAATTTTTTTTAAAACATTGCATCTATTGGCTAGGAGCTCAACGATCGA